TCTAGCCTCGGGGACTGTGAGGGAGTGAGTTTCTGTTGCTAAGCCACCCAGGCCACGGTGCTTTGTTATAAAAGCCCTAGGAATCTAATATACTGTCTCCTCAATTACAAAACAGCCCTCAGTTTAGAAAGATCCAGCGAAAATCAGAAGGCCCAGCGAGCATTTAACAAGTTGGGAACTCCGCTGTGCAATTACCACAGTAAGTTTGATTTGGTATTCTTATGTGGAAGAGAATCTTGGGCTTCGATATAAGGTTTTTAAAAATAGTACCAACACGTTTTTATGGGATTTCTAAAGTAACGTGTTTCTCTAATTTTGGATGATGTCAGTGTAACGAGGATGGAAACCCAGCAGTTGGATAATAGGACTAATGTCCCCTTAGAGTTCTCTGATGTGGAGGTCAGCAGGAAGAATGAAATAGACTCGCTTATACTTGCTGTGGACGTAAATGCAAGTGCACCGCAAATTAGCATTAAAAGCAAACGTACATACCATAGACACTAAGAAGTAAAGACAGAGGGATGTTGAGCAGATCCTTCCAGAGCGACTAAACTATTTACCCCTCGTGTCTTTCGAGGCACACCATTCGATCTCTAGTGCTACTTGTAAACCTGTCATGTGTGGCCACTAAAGGTAATTAGTGAGCATGTCTGCGCTTAAGGATAACTGGATTATAACACTTTATTCGAGTTACGTAAAAGTCACAGTTATTTCAAGTTCCAACTCATTTGTGTTTCGCTGCTGTTTTGAACAAGGATATGGTCTCACGTTCCCTGGCAATGTGTTTATAGCTGCCACCACGATTTAACATTCTCCAGCATTTCACAGAAATCCATGACATAAGAATATGAATGCAATTGTGTATATGTACATATATATATATATATGTATGTGTATATATATACATATATATATATGTAAAGCCCTCAGGTGGTTGTTAATTTTTGGCACTGTGTAATTAAATTAGTTTTTTTTAATGTTATCTTTTGCCAGTATCTAATTAGCAAAGCCATCTGCTGAAAGAGTAGTGGCCCATCTGCCTAGAATGTTGTTCTCTTCATTTTTATGAAAAGTATCTGCCTTTGCTGGTCCCTGTCTAATTAACTTCTCTCGCTGCGGAATGTGATAATACACAGCTTTGTTTATATACTTCTGAGAACTGTGGACTTATATGTATGTAACACGTACATAGAGCCAATCTTTTCTCTTTCCCACATCGGATCTACTCCTGAGATCCTAGCTCCGTTTAATCATAGCTTGAGCGTGTGTGTGTGCATCATGGTGAGGTATGCGCCGTGTCGCGTTTCCTTACATCCCCAGGATTTCTGCAGATATTAAATGATTTTCTGTAAACCTATTCTATTTCCTTTTCCATCTGCCTGTAGCACTGTGGCTTTCCTGAAAGTTGATGATATTGAGAGCTCCAGGGTATCCCTGGGCCTGAGATGAACATGGCTGTTGTTACAATGGAAATGACCACTGTGGAGTTCTCACATTTGGCAAGTGCTGTCCAGATGATGGAAGACACTTATATTTTATCATAAACTAATACCTGGTGTGTGCAAATATCCTGTATATGTCTGTTTCTCTTCCATCGGAGCTCACTAACCACATATCACATGAAAGAGACATTGAACGTGTGCCCATAAAGCAAATCTGTAAGTGGCTGAATGGCACAGATGTTATCGGTGTGTATTTACAGACAAAACAACACACAACAAAAAAACATTCCACAAACATGAATCTTCGTGTCTTTTAAGATGTGGATGTCTCACACTCTTTGCCTGGTCTCTATAGCCTATGGATATCCGTGTAACCACAATATTACTGTACTTGTCTGCTGCCAGAAAATATAATGAAGATTAAATGCAGAACAGAAAAGAGAATTAACGTTTTTTTCTCTATGAGGCTATTGTGCAATAGAAAAAGACAAGAGATGATAAAAATTAGATTTAAGAAGACAAAAAAAAAAAAAAAAAAAAAAAAAAAAAAAAAAAAAAAAAAAAAAAAAAAAAAAAAAAAAAAAAAAAAACCCAGACTCAAGAAAGAAGATCATGAGTGTTGTACAGAGATCTGAAACATAGGATGTTAAATGCCTTCACAGTTGTTTTGACTGCCATAAAGATAGGTTCGTGTGGATGGGGAAAGTGTCTTAAAAGGAAGTCAGCTGGAAAGATGGCTTCACAAATCAGCAGTGGGGTTTGTTGCAAAATGATGATGCGTGAAAGAATAACAAAGAATCTTCTTTGAGGATAGAGTGAGAAGGCTTGATTAAAAGGAATTTAATTGATTAGAACAAGTCTTGTGGACGAAAGAAAGTTATGACTTGGTTCAAACATGATTTAATTTCAAACAGAATGAGTAACTCCGAGAAGTACACTCTGGTCCAGGAGGATTCTACTGATACTTGTATTTCTTTCTAATTAAAGTGGTGGGTTTTTTTGGTTGTTTGTTTTTGTTGCCTGCCCTCTCCCCCCCCCCCCCCCCCTGCTCCCCAGCTGTGAAGTGGTCAAATGGGTAATCTCTAGTTCACTGAGGGGATAGAAAGACACTTGGGATTAATCGGGAACATTCGATTTTAGACCAATCCGGAAAAGACATGTTTTCCCACTGTATTCTTTGATAAGTCCTGTGACATCTGGTAATACTTATCCAGCTTCACAAGAGGTAGCTCAGTCCATTCCTAACATAAATCCTGTCTCTCTCTCCTGTCCTCTGTTCAGGTAGGAAGCGAATCAACAGAAAAGCTATACAGTCATGGTCTTCAATTAATTCTGGATTTGAATATTATTGGAAAACTGGTTATAACTGTAATGAAAATGACTTGGAAGTAACTTTGCTACTTTTAATAACTGTCTTCAGAAAAATCTGTAAGACTCATCCTATTTTCTAGTGGTCTAATCAGCTTGTGGGTGCAGGTACGCTTTCTTGCTAAACTGGATAAAGTCATGACATATTTTTGAAAACTCTCATTCTTTTTTCTATTACTTTCCCCTTCCAGTCCTTGGCCAGTATTTATCTTGAAAACGCAAAGGCTACTCGGGCACTAGGCAGACTGGGGAAACTATTTGTTTGCCATTTCGGCAGAAGGATTGGAACAATTTTGATGGCATTTGATAAATATCCTTGCAACCCTTGGACTAACCATGCTCCTCATAGGTCTTAGGTTTACTGAAAAGGAAATTACTATTTAACTTTCAACAAAATCACTAGATAACAAGAGCCCCTAGGAGTGCCTCTTTATCTAAAGCTTTTTATTGTGTGGTTGTCCTGGTAACTGTATAACTAAATCCCCTTGGTGATAAGAAGGCAAAGTTGCAGTAAGGTCAGCTTTGTTGAAGAGCATGTTGTAGTGTGTTGATTCTGTTTTGAGTTGACCAAAGGGCAGACATATGGGTATCTTTATTTCAGTACAAACAACAAAGTCAGTTTTGTAAAGAGATCTGAGAAAGGTCCACTCAGAGTAATAGTAATCACTTATTTTAGGTGAGCCTCGTGGGGACACTAGATCTGCACGTGCTCCTGAAACCCTTATCTCTTCTCGGGAGGTGTCCTCTCTTTTCACGGAAGTATTTGTCATCCTAGCAGGGAATTCAAGTCATTTGTTCGCATCAGATGCTGACTAGCTGTGACTTTATTGCTGCCTTTAACCATTATGAACAGGAAGAAATCACGGAAAGAATTAACGAATTCTCTTATCAGATGCTGACACCCACAAAAATCTCTAAGTCCACACAAGAGGAAACAGTTATAGTATTGTTTCTGTTTGAAAGACACTGAGGGGGTTCTCTTTAGAATACTTTTCTTATGGACTCATATTTGCCAAGAAAGATAAATTATACAAGTTGCAGTGTTTTGTGCTTTAGTCTCTGTTATGTAACATTCTTTGGAGGACAGTCGATACTAGATGATGCTGCTACCATTACTCTGTTATTCTCCTAGGTTTAGGAGAATTGAAAAATGTCTCCTTTCTAGAAGGAAGACTGAAGCCATTATTCTCCTTCCTAATATTGGACAGTAGCTTATTTTTGGCTTTGTTTACTATATTGTCTCACATTGGTTCAAACTAACAAAAAATTGTCCCTCGCGTAAATTTTTTTCCCTGATAATGATTTAACTGGTTCTTCAGAAATCCTAAATTCTCTGGAAATTCCAGCTCTCGTAGTAGGATGAAACACAAACCGACAGGAAGACAAAAGATGAACAACTCAGATGCTTCAGTCTGTTCAAAGAAATGATTCACAGTCTCAGCATGTAGACGGTTAACGTGTGCAGGCTTCATTTCTTCCAGTGAAATCAACACTGTATACTATCTCAACTAATCACAGGGTTCCCTTTGTGAGTCGGCAGCCGTGTGAAAGTAGGCGTATCAATCTGATCACTGTGAGTTCGATTTGGAAAGTTTGGAAAAAAATGCCCATGGGCTGCAGCTCTAAGTGTTTAGTTAGAGCTGATAACAGTATGAAAATTACTGGCATCAGGTGAAGTGGTTCTTTGCCTGAGCTGTTTGTTTTATTGACTATTCATCATTTATATATGGATCTTGGGACTAAGGATATGCAAAATCATCCTTGCTCCGTTATCTTTGAATATTGATAAATGACATACTATTAAGAGAAAACACAAATGTCCAAATGAGTATTCGGATCATTTTGTTTCGAGGCTTGGCTTTTCCGCATGCTGCAGATCTGTCCTGTGATTTCACTCAAGTGACAGTTTCACTCAAGTGACACCCGCTCCTTGCCTGCTTACAGTGATGGGTCTAACTATCACACTGTTACTGCTTACATGCAAAAGCTTAGGGGACCAGTCCTTTCAAAGGCTTTGATTTCAAAGCTAGGTATAAGCCCCTATGCGTGAATTTCGTGGATTTAATGTAAATTCTTACTGGCTCCACGGTATGCCCACATTTCCTTATCTGAGTACCGGTGGCTTATTATTTTTTCCTGTTTATTCAGTCAAAACCATACCAAGTGCTGTCATTTTGGTGTTTCCTACAGGCTGTGGAGTGGGGCTGTGACGAAGTCACCAAGAAGGCCTGTTACAGTAAGGGCAAATCAAAGGTAAGGAGCGTGTGCCTAAGGAAGGGTGTGGCCACCTGTTGGAAGGAATATATGTGGGGCATTTTAATATGAAGGCCATTCCTGATGATAGTGCCATGGAAATTGGAAACAAGCAAGATGCAAAATATAGGTACAGCGGATTCTCAAAGCTTTAATATTTAAATTAGGATTAACCACGGTTTCCAAAAAGGATTGGGACTATAAGATCCGATCTGATTTGCACAATTAATCATTAGGCTGTGACATGAAATCAAGTGGCCATAATATCATTCAGAAAAATATGGGCCTGAATGTTTGAAGTAACATTTTGATTCCCCTCCCATCATATCTTAGAGCTAATCCCATAAAGTGACCATTTGATAAATAAAATTATTACATCAGAAATTATGAGGTTTCTTTATAAATTCATCTTAACCTATGTATAAAATAAACTCCTTCTCTCTCTCTGTCTGCTACCCACCCCTTCTCTTTCCATATGAAAATTTGCATCCCCAAGTTTCTAAGGAAAGAGCAGTTGAATATCACACACACACACACACACACACACACACACAATGCTTGTTTTTTTTGTTTGTTTATTTATTTATTTATTTATTTATTTATTTATTTATTTATTTATTTTGAGAGAGAACACAAGCAGGGGAGGGGCAGAGAGAGAATCCCAAGCAGGCTCCCCACTGTTAGTGCGGAGCCCCAGTGCAGGGCTCAAACCCATGAACCGGGAGATCATGACCTGAGCCAAAATCAGGAGTCCGATGCTTACTTGACTAAGCCATCCAGGTGCCCCTGGAAAGAGCAGTTTATAGGCAAGGTTGGAAGTGCGTTTCTTGAGCAACTGTGCACGGGGTAGACCTGCTTCCACACAGTTGGTGGGCTCAATAAAAGCAGAGTTCCTTCATCCAAGGAAATCTGTTTCTGAGAAAGTTACACCGCATCATCTCGAGGAAATTCTCTTGCAGCTGGTACATGGGCTCATTATGTCTCGTTCTGACAGTGATGGTCTTACTTTATGGGAGTACGGTCCTTTCCAATGTGAATCACACTCTGTGTTAGAGAGAAGAACAGATACACAAAGAACAGCAAGAAAGGTTCCCTGTGCCAATGTGATCCCAGAGCCAAGAGCTTGGGGAAAATGTGGCGAATGGAGTGAGCACTGGTAAAAGATCGTCACACTGTCTGTACTTGGATAAGACTGTTATGCACTTTATTTTACCCATTTGCATTGCCCATTTCTCTGTCTTTCAAGTTAACGGTTTTGAGAGTCAGACATGGAGGGCAGTCTTAAGGAACTTAATCATTGGGTTTTCCAAAACTTGAATAACCAGGAAGAAGGAAGAGGGGAAGGAAGACAATGCAATCTTAGCCAGGGAAATGCTTGGAGACGAAGAAAGAGAAAGAAGGCAGAAATTTCCAGGGGCACCTGGGGGGCTCGCTAAGTTACGCATCCGACTTCCACTCAGGTCATGATCGCACGGTCCATGGATTCAAGCCCTGCATCGGGCTCTGTGCTGACAGCTCAGAGCCTGGAGCCTGCTTTGGATTCTGTCTGTCTGTCTGTCTGTTTGTCTGTCTCTTTCTGCCCCTCCCCTGCTCATGCTCTGTCTTTTTCTGTCTGAAAAATAAATAAACATTAAAAAATTAAAAAAAAAATAAGTGTCCTTCCCTTCTTTGGCCATAAGTCTCCTTGTGTTCCTTATGTGTTTAAGGATTATTAATGTAGCCAACGTTTCTTTCTGCTTATAGTCTATGTGTCAATAATTTTATAAGAATCAATGTGGTAGCCTTTTCCTAGCAGGTCATTACTACGCAGAGTGAAAAACTGCTTCTGCTGAGTCAAAACTGACCCATGTTTTGCCTTAAGCTATGACCACTTGGTTGTTTGGTCATGAGGTTGGAAATGAGGCAAATCAGAAACAGAGGGGAAAGGCCATCTTTCCTTCCATTAGGTGATGGGCACTTGATTGACATGAAGGATCAATCATTCCTACCCTCGGCTGAGTTTTCTGAAACACAGAAGACAAGTGAGTGAAGGGAACATTGTCAAATAAAACCAGACCTTCAAGCTCCATATGTTTTCTGGTTTTAATAGGTTAAAAACAATGGCACCTCTCAGTAGTTGTAAATTGATTGAAACGACATTTGTGGATGGCATTTTTTAAGACTGTCTTAACACAGATGAAGATGAGTTTCATCTGCCAGGACTCGAGGGGAGATTGCACGCTCTCGTGCGTTGTACTAAGTGTATTAATGGGCCCGAACACACTTGTGCACAACCTGTGCTCAGCTGGAATGGAATTCGGTTGTGTAGCCGACCCGTGTGCAGTAAAAGTTCACGTGCGAAAAATAACATGATGGGCGTGTCGAGGCATCAGCCTAAGCAGCCCTGGAGGGGGGATCTTTGGATGGGGAGAGCAGAAGGAGGGACATCCAGCCTTTCCGTCCTCCTTTACTTGTTCATTTTTCTCATTTAGCAGTACTCGTACTTTTTTTTTTTAATGTTTATTTCTGAGAAAGAGAGAGAGAGAGCGGGGGAGGGGCAGAGAGGGAGGGAGACACAGAATCGGAAGCAGGCTCCAGGCTCTGAGCTGTCAACACAGAGCCCGACGCAGGGCTCGAACCCACCAACTGTGAGATCCTGAGATTTGAGTCAAAGTCAGACACTTAGCTGGCGGAGCCACCCGGGCGCCCCTCTGGTAACCAAACTGGGCCACATGGGAGCCGTCTGGTACTTTCTTAAAGTGGCACCTGACACAGCAGCCATTGGGTGAGAGCCCCGAGCCCAGCTGCTGGACACAGAAGAGAAGGAAGTAGGACACTTCCTATGCAAAGGAGCAGCCAGGCTCGTCCCTGAATTCACAACTCAGACAACCCAAATTTCTCTGTTCTTTTTTTCTTCCAAGAGAGACCGCCTCTTTTTTGAAAACATTTATTTATTTATTTACTTAATTATTTAGAGCATGCACACGTGGGAGAAGGGCAGAGAGAGGGAGAGAGAGAATCCCAGGCAGGCTCCGAGCTGTTCCAGCTCTAGGGCTGGAACCCATGAACCGTGAGATCACAACCTGAGCCGAAATCGAGAGTCAGCAGCTCAACTAACTGGGCCACCCAGGCATCTCGAAACTTCTGTGCCTGTTCTGACAGTTCAAGAGGCCAGATCAGAAAACATTTTCACAGAGTCACTTCAGCCACAGCTGTCCCCTTGTCCACAGTTTTGCTTGTGACAGTTTCCATTTCCCACAGCCAATTGTCCCGAAGCAAAGGGTCCTCCTTGTGATCTATCAGAAGGTCAGTAGTGGCCTCACGCCCCGTCACAGCACCTGTGGCGTTCACCTGCCTTCTTCTTTTTCTGTTTAAGGTTTTTTAATGTTTATTATTTTTGAGAGAGACAGAGAGTGGGGGAGGGGCAGAGAGAGAGGGAGACAGAGAATTGGAAGCAGGCTCCAGGCTCTGAGCTGTCAGCACAGAGCCCGACTAGGGCTCGAACCCACGAGCTGTGAGATCGTGACCTGGGTTGAGGTTGGACGCTGAACCGGCTGAGCCACCCAGGCGCCCCTCCCCTCCCTTCTTTTCATCACGTAGGCATCTCACCATCCACAGAAGAAGGGAGGTTGTAACACAGTAAGATATTTTGAGGGAGAGAGAGCGAGAGCCCACATTCACAAAACTTGTACTATGGTGTGTTATTATAATTGTTTTGTTATTTGTTGCTGTAACCTGTCACTGTGCCTAGCTTCCAGATGAAACTCTATCACAGCTGTGACCGTATAGGAAAACTCATACTATATATAGACAGGGCTTGGTACTAACCGTGATTTCAGGCATCCACTGGGGGTTCTTGGTAAGTGTCCTCATGGATGAAGGAGGCCTGTTGTCACATCTATTTGGAGGAGTGGAATTCAGGCTTTTCTTAATAGCCCTGAGTTTAGAAATGAGAATTCAGCGATTTCGTATTTTTTGTTTGTGCACGGTGTTATGACAACTCACGCAGAATTACAAAGTTTCCCTTCTTCCCAAAATGAAAAGAATAATGCAAAATGTGACATCTAGAAAATGAGAAAAATGCCAGCCATTTGGAGTGAATGCATGTTTGTTTTCTCTCTCCCCTAACAGTGGTCTGTGCAGCATGGTGTATATACAGCCGGCATGCCAGGCGCGGAGGAGGGGGGCTGAGCTGCGGGGCGGTGGGAACATTCCTCAGCTGGCTACAGGGCAGGGGAGAAGAAAGGTGACCCATTTCCCCGCCTCCCGGTATTGCTGGGACCCACACGGGCACCATTTCACATGTAGTCCGTTCAACTGACCGTTCATGGACGGAGGTCAAGAAAATGTCACCAAATCTTTGATTCAGGCCCATTTAGAAGAGAAAGCAGGCACTGAGGCCACCAGTTCTCTGTGAGGTTTGAGTCCAGTTGTACTTGGAAAATTTTCAGGGAGCCTGGGTGGCTCCGTCAGGTAGGCATCTGACTTCTGCTCAGGTTATGATCTCACGGTTCCGTGAGTTCGAGCCCCTCACCTGGCTCTGAGCTGACAGCACAGAGCCTTCTTGGGATTCTCTCTTTCTCCCCCTCTCTCCCTTTGCCCCTCCCCTGCTTGTGCTCTCTCTCTCTCTCTCTCTCTCTCTCTCTCTCTCAAATAAACTTAAAAATTTTTTCAGCTCACTTTGGGGAAAGAGCATGATGTTACCTACAACAACTCAAACGTTTTCACGCAGTGAAAGGAAGAAAAACCCGTTTTTCTGTATTCTAAAATTTTTTACAATAAAGTCTGTTGTATTACCTTCTTTCTCAAATGCCTGTAGAGACACTGGCTTTGAGAATTATTTAAATGTCTTTCAAACAAATATTATTTTAAACGCAAACAGGCAGTTCTCCCTGCCCTAACACGGGTTCCTCGTCTGTCTGGGGTCACTCCGCAGCCCTTTCCGCCGTGCCCTGTAGGAAATGCACGGGCTGTCGAGGGCGCCAGGAGCTGCTTGGTGTACAAGCCAGAGTTTATAATTC